ATGTTTTGAAATCAAGTTGACTGCTGATTATTGATGACTAGGTTCTGAATGTTGACAAACTCACCAAACAATGCCACTCATTTCACTAAAGATTGTTGGTATAGATGGTTTGGCTAGCTTTTTTAAATCATGGATAACCTTTGCTCATAGAACATACATATTAAATTAAATTTAGATTAAATCATAACTTTCCAAGTAAAAGTCATTTGATTTCATGATAAATTCATGTGATGTCATTTTCAAAGGAAATATCTGAAAAGAGAATCACTCTTGGAATTCTTAGAACAGTCTAAAATCTCAACTATTCCCACAACACATGAGGCAAGCTTGACATGGTAAAATGCCAAGGAAGGAAAATTAACATTTTCTATCTTCCAGAATACCACCATGCATCAGTTGTTGAATAAAATCGCCTCTATTAATGTCCCATTATGTCATAATTTCTTCTTGAAAGTTTAAAAATTCAGTCAAAAGTAGATTTACCTATATGGCAGCCACATGACCCATTTTATTCCCAATTAAAATGTGGTTAGAACTAATCTAATAAAAGATTACACAGAGTTAATCTATGGTTAGAGAGCTCAAGGGTTCCCTGTTTAAAGTTCTGGGTGATCTTTCTGGTTTCATTACTTTACATTGGTACAATAATTTAAATATATTTACAAAGCAATTTGAGTGTAGATCTTTCTGGAGATTTTAATTTTATTCCTATCTCAAAAATGTTTCACCTACATCAAATTCAACAAGTTTGTCCCAGTTATGGGTCTTTGTTGAGTTTTTGAAAAGCATGAATCTTCTTCATGTAGAATTTTATTTAATTCCAAAATTTCATTAGTGTTACTAGCTTAAACAGTTTGGGAGCAAACCAAGCTACCTCTCAGTAAGCATAGAGTTTAACTGGTAGAAATATGTAGGAAAGAAGTGAGACTGTGACCCAGTAACCAAAATGTCCAATGGCTCATCAATGAGCAGAGAACACTTGTTAGTCTAGAGATCTGGTTTAAAAACTGTAGGCCCAAAGAGTTTCTAATGTACTGATTGTTCTAATGTAAAAGTTAGTCTTTTGTAGACCCGTTTTAGGATGTCAAATGATCTCCTTCTGCTTTTGACCAGAGAAAGTTTGGGGCAGGGGAGATCATCTTTTTCCCCTTCTCTTATTTTCTTGCATGTGATCACAGGAATCAAAAGTTATAGACATGAACACTTTGATTATCACCCATTAGACAGTTTAGAAATGAAAGAAGGCATCGTAATACCTTGAGATTGTTAATTGGTAGGTATTTGGAGAAAATTACCTGTGGAGATAAAAAGTCCTCCCAATAGCTAAAGTATATATTTTACATTTTAAAAAGCAAATCTTGTGTAAATCAAAGTAGATGGTTAATGCATATGCTTCAGAATAAAAATGTAAGGGAATATACCCCCCCAAACCATAATGCACATGGATTTATTCTACCTGTAGTAACAACTTAAAATTGAAGTCATATTTAAATACCATGTGTGTACGTGCACATATGTACATATATACACACTCACTCATAGAATCTCATTCCTGAATGTATTAAAATATACATGCAAGTTGTCTGAGAACTCTTGGAAGTTTTAAACAATTGAATCTTCCTTTCAATTCCAAATGTAATGGGAAGACAAATTGAATGCACTCGCTTCAAAATCAAGATGGATATGTATGGAGATTCAGTGAGAATGACCCATTGAGAGGAACTGGGTAGTTTCTATGAGTATTTTTAAAGACAGCTCTCATTCTATCTGCACACAGCTTGTCGGTGGGTACCTGCAGGCAGCATTATTGAAAGGTGAAGGAGTCGTTTTTCGTAGGGAGGACAGTATCCCCCTGCTGTGTCTGCTGCTGCCATGGGCAGAATGGTGCTCTGGTGATAATGCGAATCTCATCACCACTCGTGAGTGTGTGTTACATGAGTGATGTAGCTGGAGACCTAGCCATCAGCCCAAGAATTTGTGCTCATAAAAATTGATTGAGAGTCAGGTTTGGCCAGCTGCAAAGTCATTGTTCAAAGTGAACACTCGAGGAGCCACTGAGCTGAAAAGACTTATCAAAGGCTTTCAAATAAACAGTAAAATCGGAAGCAAAAATGTCGATTTAAATCAGAGTCAAGAAAATGGGAAAATAGATTACTCATTAATTTGGGTGTTTGTTTAGCTTCTTAGTAAGATGAGTTGGAGTTCCTGTTTAGATTCTGACCCTGATAAAATAAATAAGTGGATTCTGAAGTTTTCTAAGAGGCTGCATTTTTTTTAAACAAAGGTAAATTTTGATTCAAGCCAAACTGAAAGAAAGCAATTTTGATATATATACTTGAAATCTTATTAAAATTAAATTTATATATTTCTTATTCATTTTTCTTATTCTTGTCCAATGCTTTTATATTATATTTAGAAAATATCTTTACTGTAAAATACTTATGATACTATACTATATAGTAGTTCATTATAATAAAACATTTAACAGCTTTAAAACTCTAATATTTAACCAAGTGGAATTATTTCTTCTATATTCTATTAACACTTATTCAAATAACCATATGCCCCATATTGCATATTCTATAATCAATTTAAAAATTCCTGGAACACTTACATATGAATATAATTTTTATATTAAATCTGATATTTAGTAGGCAATTACTTTGTGGCAGGTACTTATTTAAAGCACTTTTAATGCATTATCTTATTTACCTCTCAGATTAAATCCAAGGGTTGATTTGGCATTATAATTACCCTCATTGTACAGTAAAGAAAACCAGTATGCAGAGGGATTACGTCATTTACACAGGTTAGTTTAGTTTGGGATTCAAGCAAATTCAGTTCTGTGAGACTGTAGAGAGTCTTATTTCTTCTGCCATATAGCCACAATTAAATTAATGTATACAACTACAACTGATCTGATGACAAACAGATATATATATAATAATCACTGTGGATCATTAGTATTGTGAGGTGCAAAACAGCATTCCTACAGTAAAGAATCAGGAGTGCTAGTGGAAACAGCCCTGTGTTTGTGAAGGCCACTTTCTGTGTGACATCACTGGAAACTGAAGGCAACATCGATGTTGTCTTGGCCCTGTATCAAGTGTTCACTGCTTGTTGTTGATGTGTCAGAATAAGGACTTGAAGTTGCTGCAAACAACAGCAGGCTCTCAAGACATAATGTTAATTACGTATCAGCTGAATTGGCACAGGATGTAAACAGTCAACCATGCCACTGAGTGATCAGGACATGCTGCACACATATGAAAAGCACTGTTAAGAAGATGCAGTCAAAAAGTACTTTAAACACAAAGAAGTGGATGCCCCAGACTATTGATTTCTAAAAGAGTCAACACACCCGGGCATCAGCTGCAGGAGATGCCTCTCACATATTTGAAAATAGTGCTACTAAGTACAGATGGTGAAGTTCAGTTATGTGGTCTAGGTTTAGTCTAGGACATCAGCTGATGTTTGTTTCTGGTAGTCAGATAATGTGAAGTGAGCAAATGAACTGCTGTCAGATGGAGAAAGTCATAGGATGGTGGTTGTCTAGCTGTGTGCTTTAAATTGGACATGCTTAGTGTAGGATAAAACTGAACCATATAGGTAGAAACTGGAAAGGCCATCAGCACCCTAGGACTGCCATCTTATCCTTTTCTCATTCTGAAAAGTAACTAATTAACCATGGTTAATAGTGTGGCCTTCGACACTTGTATTGTGTGTGCACAACTGTGTGTGTGTGTGTGTGTGTGTGTGTGTATAGATGCAAACACACAGATATTCGTAACAGAATCATTCCATGTACTTCTGCTCTGTGAATTGCTTTGCTCCCCTTTAAAAACATATTGGAGTGAAGTTGCCATGTCAACATATAAAAATCCACCTTGTGAACATCAAGTGAATGATTATATTTTATAATATAGATTTATATAATCTTTGTAATAATTGCCCTTCTTTAGACATTTATTTCTCTTTTTGTCCACAGTGCTATCATCATTATATGTACAATTACTAAATATTCATCTTTGTATATATGTGGAAGTACTCCTATAGTAAAGAAATCACTAAGTTAGAGGGCACAGATACTTTAAGGCAGAGTATGAATATTTTGATGACTCATGAATATTTGAATATTGACCAAAACTTTGGCTGCTATTTTTTTTTACAGTTAAGTCATCTTTATTAGTAATTTTGTTTCATTGTATGTTCTTTTATCTTTCAAAATGCTCATCTTAAATAGAAAAGAAAATTGAAAATTATCTTGGTTGTGGGGTTAATTTGGAACAAAATGTCAGAAGAGAATAACTTTTAAATTTAGGTTTC